AGCGCCCTCGCCCGAGTCCGATGGTGTGGAGGCCTCCAGGAAGGAGCAGAACTCCCAGCTGTCGGAAAGGATGTCGGAGGCGAGCAGGTCGAGCGGGCCCAGCTCGCCGCCGCCCATGCCCTTGTCACTGCTCGAGGTGCTGCTGGCCGTTGCCGTGGTCCAGTCGTCGGGCTCCAGCTCGAAGTCGAAGTCCGATGTCAGCCGGTCAATCTGGCTCACCACCTGCGGCCACATGGGCACTGTTACCGCAGCGGGGCCGCGGCCGCCTCCTCCCCGCTCCCGCCGTCCCCCTTGCCCTCCTCCTCCAGCAGAGACACCTCAGAGTGCTCCCACACGCCCTCCGGGCTCTGCCATCCCCATGGCCGAGTCCCCGTCCCCGCCGGCCTCCCCAGCCTTGCCTGGGAAGTGGTTGCCCCGCGTGCTGTGGACATGGCACGGGGCCGGCCAGAAGCACACAGAGGCGGCCGCTGCTGGGGGGTGAATAAAACAAGCCCTGAAAAATTTACAATAATAGACTGTCGTGTCCTAGTTTGTGATCTAGCGTGCACCAAGCCCAGCGACTCTGCAGCCCTGGCTGACTCTCAGACGGCCCCAGCACCCGGGGTTCGGAGCCAAGCGTGACCGTCGGGAGCTGCGGGGTGGCCACCCCTCGGTGCATGGTGGCCCAGAGCAAACCCTGCAGCGTGTGCCCGGGCTGCATGTCCTCCCTCTGCTCCTCACCCGAGCTCTTCAGATGCCCAGGACCACTGCAAACCACCTGAGCAGATGGCCACGAAGCGTTGCTCGAGGCCCTGGAGGCACCTGAGGGGCTCCAGATGGTGGAAGAGGCCTGTGTGTCCCAAGAGGAGGTGGCAGCACGCCTGCCCAGGTGGAGAAACAGGTTAAAGCGGGCCAGGATGGGAAGCCAGGACGTGCTCCTGGTGCCCAGGTCTGGCGCTGTGTCCCCTTTCCGAGTGTCTGGCCATGGTGCTGGACGCCGGTGCACGTTTCTGCTGTCCCGCGGCTCCCAGCGGGTGCTTGTCCTGCCACCTCCTGTGGTTCAGAGCTGCCCAGGAGCAGGAGGAGACCCCACTCGGTTGCAAGGGACAGAGGTTTTGGCACAGCGACTTCACCCTCGAAGCACATCAGCTCCTGAGACGCGCGCGAGTGGCAGCCTGGGTGGCTCAAATGGGCCTCTGCCACCGCGGGAGAGCCTGGGGGACGTGTGTCCAGCACACCTTGCTCAGCTACCCTGGACGGAGGTGCAGGCAGAGAGAACCAGGAGGCGGCTTTTCAAATCAGGCCTTGGGCTTGATGTGATGGAAACAAACCCTGCTCGCATTTGCTGGGATGTTCAGCTGCTGCTCACGATTATGTTAGCTGTCATTTTGCAAATGCTGCGATGTGCTCTTGCACATCACCTGTAAGGTCGAGATATTTGCTTTTATAGGATAACCGTGCATTTATTTTTGGAGGCAGATCAGGACCAAGCAAAATCTGGAAGAAAGTTACGGCCCCCAGGTTTGGTATTTGCTTCACGCCTTCAGGCAAGGTGGGTGTTCAAGGAGGGCTTCCTGAAGCAACAGGGTCTTCACTATTTGGATGTCCCTCTTCAATTCTTTCCTTTACACAAAAGCTGTTTTCTGAATGATACGAGACGTGCTGAGCACGGAAAGTGCAGTTTCTGGAGATCAGAAATTGTTTGTTAGGAATCTTCATCTGGCCTCATGCATCCCTAAAGATGTTGTTAGCTCCTGCCGCATCAATCTGAAGGGTCTGATCAGAGGCAACGAGCTTGGAATAGGGCTTTTCCCTTCACAAATACAGATCAAGTTGTTGAACTTTTATAGCACTTATCTCATGAACACCTGCACATCCTCCAGTTAATTAAAGCGAGATATTTGTTTTGATCACGACTTGATTTAGACTGCTTTCCTTAACAGCGGGGCCCGCTCTCTCCTGGCAAACATGAGCAGGGCACCAGTGATAGACCTTGACTAGGAATCTCACGGCTTTTAATCCTGGTTCAAAGGAGGGGGGTCCTGCTTCCAGATTAGAGGGTCACAGAGCTGTTCAGAAGCAAGTTGTCAGCCACCGCTTCACAAGGATTGAGTGCGGCCTGGCGCCGCAGGTCTCAGTGCCCCCGTGAAAGCTGCGTGGTGCTTAGCAAGAAGCTCCCAGACCGAGCTGGGAGGGAGGATGCCGATGCTGAGCTCGAGTCTGCAGCGCAGCCCGGCCTCTTTTCCTCCGGGATGGACCTTCCTGCCGGGCCCGCGGTGGACGGAGCAGGGTGCTGAGCAAGGCGGCTCGAGCAGCATCGCCTCCCAGGCTGTGCTCGTCTCCAGCAGTGGGAGAGGAGGGCACGCGGGGACCCGGGCGAGCTGGATCCCAGCCCCAACCCTGCTGGGCTCCGTGGGCGATGGGGAGGCGGCTCCGCAGAGCGGGGATGGAGGAGTGGGCAAAGCCGGGAGCGGGAGAGCAGCCAGGAGTGGCGGGCGGCCGAGGGTCTCGCAAGGTGCCTGGCAGATGGTCTGGCATCTGGGCTGCCTCCCAGGCTCAGCCCGAGTCCCCGTGCGAACCCGTGCGAGCCGCTCGCCTCCTCCCTGCCTGCAGACGGGGG